TAGTTCGGTGGACAGTGCTTACCTTGCCATGTACAAGGTCTAGTGCTGCAGGAAAGGAGGGGAGGATAAGGGAAGAAGGGACATAGGAAAGGGGGTGCAGATTGGATGCATTGCAGGGCAGAGAGCTGAAAGAAGAGGGTCAAATGCTCCCACAGTTCCCTCAGAGAAGGTACAGATCACTGGAACCAGCAACCCCAGCTGACCCAGGACAGATCCTGCCAGACAGAGATAGCCCAGGCTAACCCTGCAGCTATCACCTGCCCTTGCCAGACCGAGGAGGTGTCCTAACGTATACCACAAACAGGCATGTCCTGAGACCCTCGCAAGGTCCTCAGAAGCCAGTGGCAGGCGCCTAGGAGCCGCTTGCTTCCTTCTGCCACACTCTTCCCTTTCTATGAGTTCCAGTCCCCGGACCTCCCAGGGCATCCAACATGAGGTGCAAACCTATCTTCCCTTTTCCAGAAAATGCTCAAGACTACCAGTGGATAGGTCTGAATGACAGGACCATCGAAGGGGACTTCCGCTGGTCTGACGGACATTCCCTGGTGAGTTGCCAGAGAATATGAAGTGGGATAAAGACCCCCAAGAACAGCCTGCATTCAAGTCTCCTGCAAACTCACTGAGCAGGGGCCTGGCAGTCGGGAACTCTGTAGGAAGGGATTGTATCTCTTTCCTCTCTGCCTCTGGAGAGCAGCCTGGGGCTGGGTGGACTTGGTGAGGGAAGTCATGTGATGTGAGAAGGGGCCCTAAGGAAATGGAAAAAAATTTGACAGCAAGCCACCATGAAGGGTAGATGACATTTAAGAGAGTTTCCTCGTAGAAAAAAGACAAGATCTCCTGGGTATATTGGGAGCATTGGGGACCTTGGGAGAGGGTTGAAGGGGAGGGGAGAGGCAAGGAGGGGAACAGAGAAAAATGTAGAGCTCAATAAAAGAATAAATTAAAAAAGAAAAGAGTTTCCTTATATGCAAAGGTCTAGTGTCTACTCGAGGCATAAAATAGAGATCAAATGGACAGAATGGGCAGTCAGCTACAGGTCAGTGAAGAGGGTCTTGAAAAGGGTCTTACAGGTCAGAAATGAACAGACTGAGGATTGCCCACCAGGGAAGCCTGGATCCTTGGGGGTTATGAGATCCTAGAAAGATCAGAGTCAGGCAATGTAACCAGTTCCCTAACCTGGGACCCATAGCATCTAGGATGATCCTGATCAGATAATCAGATAGATTCCCAGCACCCTTTGCTGCTGCCTTACAACCAAGATGTTGGGTGGAAGAAAAAGAAGAATAGGGGAGGGAACTGATCGGGAAGGAAGTGGGGGTCAAGCTGAGCCACACCGCTTCTGTCTGCCCCTTACCGTTTTGCCTCTCCTGCCCACAGCAATTTGAGAAGTGGCGTCCCAACCAGCCTGACAATTTCTTTGCCACTGGAGAGGACTGTGTCGTGATGATCTGGCATGAGAAGGGCGAATGGAATGATGTCCCCTGCAATTACCAGCTGCCCTTCACATGTAAAAAGGGCACCGGTAAGAAGGGATTGGGGGGAGGTCTCCAGAGGGCAATAAGCCCTTCAGCTGCAAGGGAGCCCCTTGCCTTGTGACCTGGGGGCAGTTCTCTTGTCTCCTGACTACCGGAGACTATCAGAGCATCCTCAAGAAGCTTGTGGGTGCTGATGCGAGGGCCTCTCTCGGCACCAGCATCACAGAGCCAATGGCAAGAACAAGCTGACCCCTGGAAACCTTTCACAGGGGACAAAGAGAGGGTGACAGTCATGGGCTAGAGGACAGGATCCTCCCGATGTCAGCAACAGAAAGTCATCCATAATGGCCCCTGGGTGGACTACCCTTTCTTTGGAGCTCCAAAATATGCTAGTCACAGAGTCAGAGTTACCAGGCCTGGAGTCTTCAACTTTAAGGCCGTGGTATCACAATGCTTAAAGGGGCCCAGCCTCCTGCTCCTACTCATGGCCTGTGTCCCCAGAACTCCTTTGGGCCCCACTTTCCAGCTTTGCACATTTTCATAAAGAAGCGAGAGACAGGGGCTGGAGAGATGGCTCAGTGGTTAAGAGCATTGCCTGCTCTTCCAAAGGTCCTGAGTTCAATTCCCAGCAACCACATGGTGGCTCACAACCATCTGTAAAGAGTCTGGCGCCCTCTTCTGGCCTTCAGGCATACACACAGAATATTGTATACATAATAAATAAATAAATAACTAAATAAATAAATATTTAAAAAAAAAAAGCGAGAGACTTCGCACCAGAAGGTCCTCTTGCCCCACCTTAATCCCTCCTTTTTATCTCATCATTGTTCAAGGCCACCTTTCAATCCCTTTCTGCCTCCCAGTGCCACAGAGGAATGTTAGAACTGAATGCCTGCATCTCCCCGCTCCCCCCACCCCCTGCCCCACCACACCCAGTAGTCCATGTTCAGCACTGGGAAGAACAGTCTGATCCCTTCCTCATCATGCCTTGGGCTCTGGGCTAACCTTGTCTCTGCCTATGTGGGCCGTCACAGACGACCTCGTGAGACCCCTTCCTAAAAGGCATTTGTCCCTCAGTGGCCTGTGGAGACCCCCCAGTGGTGGAGAACGCCAGGACCCTCGGGCAGAAGAAGGACCGGTATGAGATCAGCTCGCTGGTGCGGTACCAGTGTACGGAGGGCTTTGTCCAGCGTCATGTGCCCACCATCCGGTGCCAGCCCAGTGGGCACTGGGAAGAACCTCGAATCACCTGCACAGACCGTGAGCATTGTCCCCTTCATCCCTTACCTGGCCCAGAGTCAGACTCCACCAACAGGGCCTTTTCCCTTTCCCCAGAGCATAGTGGTAGCTGGTACTGTCCTGGAGACTCTGTGCCATGCTAGGTAGGGGTTAAGCCAGGCAGAGAAGGTATTGGGGGTCTACTCCATTAAAAAAAAATCAGTCCCTCCCACAGGGAAGGTCCTTGTTCCCTGGAAGGAGATAAGAAACCTGTGGCCATTTCCTGAGCCTAAGGAAGGTGGATAAAAAATCCAACCCAGGGGAACAGGATGGGGCAGCTTTGGGGTACATTTCTAAGCTCACCATCCACAGGGCGGGCACCTGCAGACAGGGGGAGACTAGGAGAGTCTGAGCTCTGCCCTGCTTCTTCCCCGCTCACTGTTAATTCTCCACCTCTCCTTGACTGCAGCCACCACCTACAAGCGCAGGCTACAGAAGCGGAGCTTGAGACCCACACAGAGAAGCCGCCCCAGCAGGGCCCACTGAGAAGAGCTTCCAGGATGTGCCCCCAGGATGCTGAGCCCAGTGGCCATCCAGGCTGACCATGCATCCCAGCTAGAGATGGTGTCTTCTTCTTGTCGCTTTTTGTCATTAAAGAAGGAAAAATAAAAATACCCCACATTGTGTGTGCCCCGACTCCCCACATCACCCAAGCTACATCTAATTTGTTCCCTCCTCGAATCCCTCCCCCCAAAAAAATGCCAAAGCAAATTTACTGTAACCCATGGACTGAGTTTAGAGACATTTCTTTGATCTCCCACCGTGCCTTTCCAGGGACCAGTGCAGAGACAGGGTGAGAAGGGATGGGATTAAATTAAAGAAGATTTTTTTTTGTTTCCTGACTTTACCCAAGAGAAGTGCAATGGTTGGTTATTTCACCTCCAGGAGAAGCTAGGGAGGCAGGAGGAGAAGCTGGAAGGAGACAGGGCAGGGGCAGGGGGAGTATGGTGGCCTCAGAGCATGAAGGACTCGCAAGAGACAGACTACAGCTTAACGCGTTGGACAAAAGGAACCGAGGTCTGTGCCATCGATGAGGAAAGGAGCCTAGGCAGGGGACAGGCTGGCCAAGGGGAAATGAGGTGGCCTTCCCTCTAGAGTCCCTCTTCTACTGACCACCCTAGCAGGTGTCATTCCTCGGCTGGACTAGGTAGGGGCACTTCCTTCCCAGGGGTGCTCCACCGTCCCCTTCCCTCTCCCTACCCCGGGACGGTGCAGGCACCAGTGTTCCGTGCACCTATTTATATTTTTTGAAAACTAAAGATTATGATAATTATAATAATAAAGACATTGGAAGAGATCTATTTCCTTTCTTTTCCGTTTTGAAGAGTTCATTTTATTTCGTAGTTAAGCAGAAGGTGACCGGGATCTGGAACCTCCGCGGGGTCCGTGCTCTGATCCCAAATGGCCTCACCATGGCATGAGTCCTGGGTGTTCAAGTCACTTCTGTTCACCTCATTCTGACCGGAGTGACACTATGTTTGATGGGCCCTCTGCGTCTGTGTGTGTGTGTGTGTGTGTGTGTGTGTGTGTGTGTGTGTGTGTGTGAATACAGCGTGCCTGTGAACACATGTGACCTGTTTGTGTATGGATGCCTGAGTGTACCTGCCCACCTGTGCCATACAGTGGTTTGGAGGGCAGGTTTGCAAGGGGGCACACTGGGAACGTAAGAGTTGGTATGCTGGAACACTCAGGGTTGAGACAGGAGTACTGAAAGTTCAAGGCCAGCCGGGGATCCTGTCCCCAAACAACACAAAAGAATGATTCGAGACACTTGGTGGCATAGCCTGTAATCGCAGCTACTTGAGGGGCAGAGACAGCCTGAGTAAGTTGGTGAGACCCTGACTCACAGTAAAGGGTAAAAGAGAGCTGGGGATGTAGCTCAGTGGGAGTAGCGCTTGACTAGCAGAAGCAAGGCCCTGGGTTCAACCTTCATTATCAAAATGGGATGATATATCCCCTGAAGGGCTGTGTTAACACACCCCGAGTTTCTGACCCACTTGCTGGAGTGAGACTGAGGAACATGGATTTCTAACAAATTCCCAGACTGCTCGTCTGGTGTGAGGGTGCACACCTGTGGCCCCAGCACCAGGAAGGCCATCCTCAACTATACAGAGATCAAAACCAAACCAGCACACAGGGGCAGCCCAGGGGAGACAGAGGACAGAAGTGGACCCCCCCCACACACACACACCCTAGGCTGGGATCTAGCCCCCAAGACTGAAGGAGACAAAGGGTCAGACATGGAGGTCAGCTGGAAGGAGGAAGTAAATCATAGCACCATTTATTAGCCAAAGAAGGTACACACACCCAGAGTCACACCCAATGGGGACATGGAAAGGGTATTCTGACTCTGGAACCAGGAGAAGAGGGAAGTTGTCCCTTCCCTAAGCCCTCACCCACAAGTCTAAGGAGCCTGTGCAGAAATTAAAAGAATCAGCACTTAGCTTCCTCCTTCTCTAAGCCAAGGAAAGGGGGCTAGCTGCAGCCACTGCTCATTCTGGGCACCAGTTTCCTCGGGTTAGGGGTGCCAGCTGTACCAGAATGTGGCAGAGCCTTTTAAAGGTCAGTGGACCTCAAACGTCCCAGAAAGGGATGCCAAGAAAATTGAGAGTTGGATCTGAAAAAAAAAAAATCTTTAAAAAAAAAAACTGTTTAAATTGCCAAGCGGTGGTGGCACACACCTTTAATCCCAGCACTTGGGAGGCAGAGGCAGGCAGATCTCAGCGAGTTTGAGGCCAGCCTGGCCTACAAAGTGAGTTCCAGGACAGCTAGGACTGTTACACAGAGAAACCCTGTCTCGAGAAGCAAAACAAAACAATATGTTTAAGTTGGAAAATATAAAAATAATACAAGCAATGCCCCAACTCCCAAAAGGCAAGGTGGACCCTTGTGTCAGGAAGTTGGGGGGGGGGGGGCAGGACGAACGCACAGCTGGCCACTCTGCTAACGCTGGCGGTAACAGTAGACACCATAGCGGGCATGTGGGTCTGGAAAGCCGAATGTCCGTACTCCTGGCTCGGGGGGCCCACAGTTGGGGCGTGGGTGAACTATGGGGTAGCGGGCACTTCCATCCGCCAGCCAGCCAGCATCACAGCGATCCAGGCCACGGAACTTCCAAGCAGCAAAGAGCTGGCCCACCGTAGCGATCTGTGTGCCGTCTTCCCGGCAGGCCTCCCTGGCCTCCTGCAGTGTTAACTTCTCAGGGTGCTCCAGGTAGTACACCCACCCTGTGGGAAAGTGAGGCACTTGAGTGCTATTCAGCAGAGGAGGCGGCAGTGCCTGCCACAGGCAGGGAGGAATTGCTCTATGAGGGTCTTATTGGACACTTCGGGGAGGGGCACCTTTCTGGTCCTCATCCCATCATTTCTGTACTCCCCGGCTGCATTCTGAGTGGGCACCTACCTAGACTGGACTAGCCGCTTACCCTATGAGCATCTATACATGCCAGCAGACACTTTTAAGTAGCTGAGGATGACCTTCAACTTGAACTTCTGATCCTCCTGCCTCCCCCTCCCAAGTGCTGAGATTACACTACAATGCCCAGCTCAAGAGGTGCTGGGGATGGAAGCCATGCCTTGTCCACTAGGCAAGAACTCTACCAACCGAGCTGCAACCCTGCTGGACACGTCTAAGTATTTCTGATATGATAACACATCTCTGTTTTCATTTATCTGTCAATGAATCATAAGCCTGGTGTCTGGGGAAAGACATGGTTTGTCTGTGCTGATCCGCAGTGTAGTACATGACAGACACTCAGAAGATGTCTGATAAATTAATAACCAGAGGCAGCCATGAATAAAGAGCAAAATGGTAAGAACTGGTAAGGACATTGCCTCCGGAACTGCCAACATTTCAGACCGAGGGCCAAGAGGCAGGCAGAGAAGGGCAGAAGGTTCTGGAAGTTTCACACATGAAGAGGCCCTCCCTCAGATTCCAGATGACCATCAGGTGGACAGGTCTATGCTGGGCCATCCCACTCACCCTTGAGGGCAGCAGCGAAGCAGAACACATCATAGCGGTGCAGGCGGCGGTGGCGCTGGCCATAGCTGCGAACACCCGGCGCCAGGCCGAGGCCTCCGCAAGGCTGCCGGGGCAGCGCTATAGGGTACTGGACAGAGGCGTCCTGCAGCCAGCCGGCGTTGCACCAGTCCAGGCCCTCCTCCCAGGCACGGAAGAGCTGCTCAAAGGAAGCCACCACAGCGTCCTGCTCCTGGCAGGCCTGTTGGGCCTCGTGGAAGTTGAGCTGGTAGCGCCCTTCGGGGGACTGGTAGGGAAAAACCACGCCTAGAAAGGAAGGAAGGGCTCAGAGGGGTCAGAAGAAGGAGGCCCGAGCTCCCCACTCCAGTGATGAACAGTGCTGTGGAAGTGTCAGCTGAATAAACCCTTTCCTCCCCAACTCATTTTTTGGTCAAGGTGCTTCATTGCAGCAATAGAAACCCCAAGATAAGGTCAGAGTGTTGTTGTGTAACCCAAGCTGGCCACAAACTTGCAATCCTCCTGCTTCAACCTGAAGCACTGAGATCCAAAACACACGGACGCGGCTGCACACGTCCTCAGACAGCTCAGCAAACCTCCCACCTTCTGTCCAAGTACTAAGTACCAAGCCAGACTTCTTAATGCAGAAATTTCTTATCCCCTGGGTTCTTATCCCCACCACACACACACACACACACACACACACAATTTCATACTTAAATATAAAAACCTAACAGCAATAAGCCTGCATTCTGAATTGGCATTCTAACTAGTCTGAATTAAATGGCTCCTTTTGGGGTTCAGCAGTGTGCCCCAGGCTCTACCAGTCCCTACTGTCATCCACTGGCCCTGCTTTATTCATCTGTCTTGCTGACTAACCCTGCAAGAACCTCAGTTCTGGCTCCCATTTCCCTCTTTCTGAACAGGACTGAATGGGAAGGAACAGGTGGCAGTGGCTTCTGGAAGTTGCTTCCTGGGTTCAAACACCGTGTCTGCACCTATCAGCTATAGATCTAACCTTACATAAGTTACTTGATCTCTCTTAGTTCCCTCATCTGGAAAACAAGAGCCATGATACTATCATTTCCTTTTAGGGTTGTTTTGAGACTTAGACGTGCTTACCTGCGTAAAGTATAAAGGTCTACGCCTTCTCTGGGTCCTCTCCCCCTCCCTCGGGTCCCAGTGGCATCTGTCAGGGCCTCACCCCGAAGCTCCAGCTCTACCAGGCCACTCTCGTCCTCCAGCCCATCAATGACCTCGCAGCGGTAGCGCCCAGAGTCCTCCAACCGCAGGTCCCTGAGCTCCAGCGAGACTTCCTGCTGTGTGTCCTGCCGCAGTTGTACTCGCCCTTGGTAGTCCCCGAAGGAGCGGTGCCTCGGCCCGATGGCCACCAGCACATCCTGCTCCGGGGACCCGTTCTCTGATAACCTCCACCACTTCACACGCACATGTCTGGGGGACGCCAGGGCCGGCTCATAGTGGTAGTGGCAGGGCAGGGTCACAGTGGCTCCCCGGTGACTGAACAGGGACTCCTCAGTCGTCTCCACCACCAGCTTCACTCCATTGAAAAGGCCTGGGGGAAGGTGGGTCACAGATGCGACAATGGTCTCGCAAGGACCACCCATTCCCTCATCCCAAGACCCTCCAGACTCGCCTGTTGCAAAAAGAGCCACTCTGCCCCACCCCTCCAAGTACCTGCTGCTCTTCTATTCCACATACCCACTAAACAGACCTGTACCTACTTCCACTGAGTTGTGTGTGACCTGAGACCAGCATGGGCTACATGCGGTGAAACTCTGTCTCAAAAAAGAGAGGTACCTTCAGTTCCTTGAATTTGTGCTGGCCTTGCCATCTGTGTGCTGCTTCGTGAGAGGTGGAAATGACTGTCCCACTATGTCACTATATGGCCGGTTCTAAGGCTCACACAAAAGCGCCGAGCCACAGGGCTCAATTAGTGGGTGTACCGTTAAGCAGCCATGTTTGGGGCAGTTTTTTCTGCACTAAAAGCAAGTTGACGAGTGTTGTGACCATTTGGATTCCTGGCCTCCAGCTGCTCTTCCCCGCTAAAGATCTTTACTTTCCTTCTGATTTGAGTTACTGAAAGCTGTGTCAAAGTTGTTTACCAGCTCTGCTTCACGAGCACGTGTTGCCTTGCCTTGAGGATCAGAGGATGAGGTTTTCACCTGTTGGCCCACTTGACTGCTGGGTGTATAAGCCTCTGTGGTGTTATTGAATATAGGGCTTCTTACCAGTGACTAGAGGTCCATGTCCTTGTCTCTCTGTGTGTGTTTGTATGTTTCAACCTCTAGCCCCTCGCTCAAAGCTCGCAAACTGTATGGTAGTGCACAGAGCACAGACAGGCAGTATGTGCTGGCTGCAACAAGCTAAGCATGGTGGCTCCTGCCTGTGATCACAGCTCTTGGGAGGTGGAGGCAGGAGAGTCAAGACCTCAAGGCTTTCTCAAGCTACACAGAAACTTGGAGACCAGCATAGGATGCTTGGGGTGTGGCTCAGTTAGAAGAGTGTTTGTTTAACAAGCACAAGCCCTGGGTTTAGTCCCCAACTGTGCATCAAAACAGTTGTAAAAGTGCACCTGTAATCCCAGCACTCCAGGGACAGGGTCAGTTGGATCAAAAGTTCATGGCCATCCCTAGCTATATTCAAGTTGGATGGCAGCAAAGGCTGCTTGAAGCCATCTTAAAAAAAAAAAAAAAAAAAAAAAAAAGAAGGAAGGAAGAAAAAAAGAAAAAGGAAGCAAACAAACAACCCTAAAGAAATTGATTTTGGCCGGGTTGTGGTGGCACACACCTTTAATCCTAGCACTCAGGAGGCAGAGGCAGGCGGATCTGAGTTCGAAGCCAGCCTGGTCTACAAGAGCTAGTTCCAAGACAGGTTCCAAAGCTACAGAGAAACCCTGTCTCAAAACACCAAAAAAAAAAAAAAAAAAAAAAAAAAAAAAAAAAAAAAAAAAAGAAAGAAAGAAAGAAAGAAAGAAAGAAATTGATTTTAAACGCTAGCTGCTATGATAACCAATAAGAAGTTTGCCTCAAGTGTTCCTATGTCTACTGTGGCCTCCAAAGAGCACAACACAGCCTCTTTTTCACAGTCTGGGCCAACTGTCGACTAGGGCTCCTCCAAAAGACCCAGCTATCCCAGCCAAGGAAGGAGACGGTCAGAGCTCAGGGTTCAAATGGCAGAACTCCCTAATCAACAGAACTAGGCTGACAAGATGGAGCTCATTGCAGGGAATCAGTGACTGCAATCTCAAAGTCCCCTGCCTGAGGTCACCCAGCACGAAAGAGGTACAACTGATATTCAGGCTCACATCTCTGGGATTCCAAAGTCTCTTCTGCAGGGATCCCAGGGGTAGTGGCACTTGGGCTGGATCTTAAAGACCTAGCTCTATTCTAGGAATGAGGGCCAGCCCAAGAGAACTTCGTCCCATGTCTACGGTATCAGCAAACTCAGGGTGTTTAAACCATGTCCTCTCATCTTAGAAGCAAGGCCAATCTACCCTTGGAGGCCCAGACTGGGAAGATCCTCCTGTCTGTATCCCAGCCTGAAACCTATATATCACAGCAGGAGCCAGGAGACAGGCCTAGAAGCCACCGACCTTCCCCATAGCCGTCGCTCAGGGTCCTGCCATGCGGGCCGTGGGAATAGTAGAAGCCATTGTAGAATGGCAGTCCCCAGATGCAGGAAAGTGACAGCAGCAATACAAGGAACAGCAGGCCCATCTTGGCCAGGATAGTGGCAGTGCCTAGGTGTGTCTTAGACGAGGCTGAGCCCTCCAGCAACTGCAGGGAGAAAGAAAACAAGCCAATTACAGAAGCCCACGGCAGGGACCTAGGACTCCTCCGTTGGCACCCTCTAACACACTCCCTCAACAGCGCATCTCAGAACAGCTCCGTGGGCCAGGGGCTGTCCTCAGAGCCCAGCAGGCAGCAAGAACAAGCTAGAAGAGGTGTCCCCTTCGTAGGGGAGAAATGCATCCATGGGCAACAGGCACTGAGAACTCTCAAGCAGTTTGAATTTCAAAGGCCGTAAACAGAGGAGACTAGAATAGAACATTCCAGGGTGGGTTTCATAGTTAGTAACAAGTCTGGACCACCATGGAACTTGTTTCAACACACAAGTGTCTGTGAGGGGAGGACCGTGACAATGTGGCATTTATTTTTAAGATGAAAGCAAGGTCAAAAAGCATTTGAGGAGTAAGATGGCTCAGTGGTAAAGATGCTGCCTGCACAACTTGAGTTCAACCGCTGGAAAAGAAGCAACTCCATAATGTTGTCTAGCCTTAATGCGTGCACTGTGGCGTGTGTATGCACACACACACACACACACACACACACACACACACACACACACACACACACGTATAAATATCCTTTTAGGAAGTGAGTTTTGCCGGACGGTGGTGCACGCCTTTAATCCTAGCACTTGGGAGGCAGAGGCAGGTGGATCTCTGTGAGTTCAAGGCCAGCCTGGTCTACAGAGCTAGTTTCAGAACAGACACCAAAGCTACAGAGAAAAAAACGAAAAAATAAATAAACTAAAAGTGATTTTTTTTGGGTGGGGTGGGGTGTTATTTTAAAGAGAGTTTCATGTAGTGAGCTCGCCACAGAGAATGGTCTTGAACTCTTGATCTAACTGCCTCTACCTCAAAAACTCTCAGCAATCAAAGTATGATATTTTAATATATTTTAAAAAACAAAATGAACAAACTATATCCCACAGGCCAGCTGCCTACTGAGTGCCTACTGTTGGGAAATATTATTTTCAGGTGTGTTGCTTTTGTTTATGTTGCATTTGTTTAACTCTCTGAAACTGTGATTCTTTGCCTGTCTAAAACACGTGATGATCTAATAAAGCACTAAATGGCCAATAGCGAGGCAGGAGCCAGGAGAGGCGGGGCTGGCAGGCAGAGAGAATAAATAGCAGGAGAAACGCAGAAAGAGCAGCAGCAAGAGAAGGAGGAGCAACGAGAGAGCCAGGGGGAGAGGACATCAGGGATCAGTCACCTAGCCATCCAGCCAGTCACGGGGAAAGAAGAAAAATACAGAGAAATAAGAAAGATAAAAGCCCAGAGGGAAAAGTAGTCAGGATAATATAAGTTAAGAAAAGCTGACAACTGCCGGGTGGTGGTGGTGCACGCCTTTAATCCCAGCACTCGGGAGGCAGAGGCCAGCCTGGTCTACAAGAGCTAGTTCCGGGACAGGCACCAAAGCTACAGAGAAACCCTGTCTCGAAAAACCAAAAAAAAAAAAAAAAAGCTGACAAACAGCCCAAGCTAAGGTCAGGCATTTATAATCAAGAAAAGCCTCAGATTTATTTGGGAGCTTGGTGGTGGGCCCCCAAAAGGCCAAAAGAGTAAAACATCTCACAACAACCTACCAACATGGGAATGGCCCCCCAAATTGCTATTTGTGCACACCTATAATTCCAGCACTGGGGAGATGGAAGCAGGAGGCTCAAGCGTTCAAGGCCATTCTAGGTCACATATGAAATTTGAGGCCAGCCTCAAATTTAGACAAAAGACCTTGTCTAAAGATGAGAATACCTAGACAGGTCCTCATAGTAGGGCACAGGTACCACAAGGTGCAAAGGCCAGGGACAGGCATGAGGGATGTTCTCCATTTGTTTGCCTGTGTCCCCAGGTCCCGTCACCATAAATCCATCCCTGTGGGTCACTTGTCACAACCTAGCCTTCTGATTTCCAACTGGGTTTAGTCAGTGGGAAGCACTAACAAGATGCAGAAGACAGTCCCCTGCCCTCCCTCCTGACTGCAGCGGACTATCACAGCCTCTGGGCAGCCTTCTACTTCTCTGTTTTATCCCTATTATCGTAGCTCTCTAGAAGTGATCCCTTGATTAAAATCTCCTTGCTGCAACCATCTGGACTGAACTCTGCTTCCTGCCCAGCCCCTGACTGACATGGGAGAAGGAGGGGGGTGAGCAGTTAGCAAGGACTCTGTCTGAACACCTTGGGAGGAGGGGAACCTGGATACCCACTCTCTGATAATTGCAGATGAAAGCTTCAAGTAGATGAGCTCCTGGCTCGGACTCACGTTTTAGAAGCAGGCAGGAGGCAAGTGGGAGGCAGGCTTTGGTGCAGCAAGACCAGGGTGCCCACAGGCCTTTGCAAATAGAACTGTGATTACTGCAGAGGAATGTGGGAGGATGCTCAGGGTATCATTTGTGACAAAGCAAAGCACACAATTGCCACAATGATTACAAACATGTGGCCTTATGGGGATGTCTGTGTACAAGACCGAAGGGAGGAGGCAAGGGCAAAGGAAGGGAGGGAGAGAGAGAAAGGAAGAGAGTGGGGAGAGAGGGAAAAGAGGGTGAGAATGCAGAACAGACTCTGGAGGGAACATTCTTGTTTGCAGAACAATTAGTCCTTGCTGGAAAGGGGAATGGATGCAGAGAGAGCCGAAGTTTGAATTCACTCTCTTCCTAGATGTATTTGCAGAAACTCTGAGGTCTAAACTAAGTTACTGTGCTAGGCACCAGAGCCGGGACAGAGCCTTGGTGATGCCGGTCAGGAACCAGGAGATCCCTGTTCAAAACCATCTCCACGGCAGCCATCCCTCAGTATTCGTGGGCAGCGTTCCACAGGATCCTCATGGGTCCCACTAGCCAAGACACTCTGACATAAAGTAGCACCACATTGCCATGTCCCCTCTCCATATTCTCCTGTACCCTGCTACTCCTCTCTAGGCCTCTTCTATCTAATTCTGTATAGTAACTGTTACATTGTGTTGTTCAGGGGCTAGCGACAAAGAAAAGTCTATACTTTCGTCTGCTCGACTAACAACCATCTGTGGTTGGTTTTAACATACTGCTTGCTGCAGCTGCACGGAAGCCCACTGCTCGCCACCGTGTGAGTCTGAGCTGTCCACAGCTGTGATGTGGAGATCATGACCCTCACCTGGTTTATGTCTCCCCAGCCAGGAGAGTTTGCTCCTACAGTGACAGAATTCTAGATACAGGCCAAACTGCACAGGAACAGAAAAAGCCCGTGCAGTGTCTAAGCCTGTGGTGAGACCAGAGGAAGTGTGAGATCTCCGACCGTTGGGAGTTACAGGCGGTGGGAACCACCCAACATGAGTGCTGGGAACTGAACTCAGGTCCTCTAGAACAGAAAGTGCTCTTGGTGGCTGAGCCCTCTCTCTCGCCCTGTATCTTTTAATTTTTTATGTTTTTTAAGTTTTATTTATTTATTTAAGATTTCTGTCTCTTCCCCACCGCCGCCTCCCCTTTCCCTCCCCCTCCCCCAATCAAGTCCCCCTCCTTCAAAAGCCCAAAGAGCAATCAGGGTTCCCTGCCCTGTGGGAAGTCCAAGGACCACCCACCTCCATCCAGGTCTAGTAAGGTGAGCATCCAAACTGCCTAGGCTCCCACAAAACCAATAGGTGCAGTAGGATCAAAAACCCATTGCCATTGTTCTTGAGGTCTCAGTAGTCCTCATTGTCCGCTATGTTCAGTGAGACCGGTTTTAACCCAGGCTTTTTCAGACCCCGGCCAGCTGGCCTTGGGGAGTTCCCCTTTTAATTTTTTAAATGTGATTGCAGGGCTCTCAAACACGACTGTACAGATGACCATGTAATATCTCAGGGTCAAAAGGTTAGACACACCTGTGCAGGTCTTAGAGGGAGGAAGTGCGATTGTGGAGCGTGAGCGCCGAGGACTTGATCCAAGGCCTCATGCATGCTAAGCTAGCATGCTCTCCCAAGCGAGCTATGTCCCTAGCGCGGTGTTCGTGTGTTACAAAGAAGAAAGTCGATGCAAAGCCCGCCCAAGGTCACCCTGCTTGGACGGTCAGTTGGAATTTGAACCCCGGCCAGCTCCAAAGCCTGGAGTCACCATGCAAATTGCAATGAGAAGATTGTGGGGAGCACACAAGTACCTGCTGTAGAGATCTCCCTAAAACTCATTTCCTTTTCCTTCCGTTAGACTTCAACTTGGAAATCAAGAGGGACACAGGCTGAAGCATCCGCGGCTTGTGAATATAGATAAAGCTGGGTGGCCCAGAGCCACCTCCCCACAGACCACTCTGGCCTCTTAGAGCTGAGACTGGTGCTCCCAGGTAGGAAGTCAGCCTGCAGGTGCGGGTGCTTCTGCCACACAGCATCCTTTGTATCCTTAAAAAAATGTGCATTGTTGCAAAATTACACACTAAAAAATTACAGGGTTAGAGGAAAATAGAGCGTGAAACTTCAGCACCCCAGTGCTAAAAGGAACAAAGGCAGTCCTGGTCAAAACCACCCACAAACATGGCCTGATACCACACACCTGTAATCCCAGTCCTAGGGAGGAGAGGGAGTTCCAGGCCGGCCCTGGGTTACACCAAGAAAGCCTGTCTTTCAAAACAAGCAAAGCCAAGAATGGAGAAGCAGGCTTACAATGGGAGGTTGGAGGCCAGGAGGATCAGGAGTTCAAGCTCATCCTCAGCTCCATAACACACAGTTTCAGGCAATCCTGAACGACACAACATCTGGTCTTGAGAGATAAAGCAATGCAAAAACCACACATTCTCTACCAACTCAGGGACAGAGGGCAGGTCCTCCTTCCATGGAGCAAGAGTTTCCTCTTTGTTGATGGAACGCTTTGGAGTGTACTAACATGGCTAGAAGCCAGTTCGGTTTCCAGCACCCACATGGTGGCTTACAACTATCTGTAACTCCAGTTCCAGGGAATTCAACACCTTCTTCTGGCACATGGGGTACACACAGATACGTGCAAGCAAAACACCCATGCACCTAAAATAAATAGATCTCTTAGAATGGAGTGGGTGGGGAGAAGGAGAGGAGGAGGAACTGAGCTTGCCAAAATGAGCAGTATGACCAGGGCTGGGATGTCATTCAACGATAGACCACTGTGCCTGACATGCCAGTGCCTAGATTACATTTCCCTCTTCTATATTTTGTTTTTTTTAATTCAGGATTGTCTTGGCATATCTTCATCTTATTCCTGGTTTTATTAGAAGGCTTCTGGTGCTAAATTTCCTTGAACCAATCACATAGGTCCACTACCCTCCGTCAGTATCCTTGAGTTGGGATGGTGGAAGTTGGTTTGGGAATCTTGATTAGCAAGGATTCTGAAAGACTGCCATGTTTTTGCTTCCATCTTGTGCTTCCCACAAGAGCCTGGGTATAGACGGAGACAGTTTGTTTCCCGACTTCTCACACCCAAATAATCACACAGAAATTATATTAATTACAGCACTGCTTGGCCTATCAGCTCAGAATTCTTATTAACTAACCTTTACATCTTAACACATTTCTATCATTTTGTGTATCGCCACAAGGCTGTGGCTCACCAGATAAAGTTCCAGCGTGCCCATCTCCTTTGGCAGCTACAGTCTCCCTGACTCTGCCCACTCTCTATCACTGTTCGGATTTCCCACCTGGCTTCACTCTAAGCAATTGGCCAAAATAGCTTTATTTATCAACCAATAAAGAAACACATATACAGAAGGACATCCCACATCCTCTCCTTTCCTGTCTAATTAAAAAAGACTTTCACATAGTAAAATTATATATACAAAACAGTTATCAAGCAAGAATTATAGTTACGATATTTCTTTGTGAGTCTAAAGTTTTATATTTATCTTTTATTATAACTATCTAGTCTTCAACTCCATCAAAAACTCCATCAACTCCATCAAAAACTCCAGGAGGATATAATATTACCTAAGTAAACAGGAAGTGCATTGTAAGCAACTTTCAAAACTCCAGAATTGACAGAGACATCTAGCTGCCTGGACAGTCACCCGAAGTTCTTCTGTAACATTAGGGCATCCATCTTCAGCCTACAGGCCCATAGTATCCGGCAGACTTTTCCATGAAGCAGGAAATCTGAAAGACTGTTTCGCCGCTATTGGCAGTTTGTCAGTCACTTTCTTCTGTATCCTGCAGAATGTCTGGCAGACTCTTTGATGAAGCAGGAACCCTGAAGGACTGTCTAACCTTTAGGCAAGTTCAATAGTCATTTTTTCTGTGGGTCCTGCATGTACAGTTTATACAGCATACCATCAGCAGTTCCGGTAAGAGCAGTTTCTTGCCCAATAGCCTTGTCATATTGAAGGCAAATTCCATAATGAGTTTCTTCAATGCCCATCAACCTCTCTGAAGTAATTGGTGCTGCCAGAAGCAGACATGTCTCACTGTCAAAAAAAAAGTCTAACTTCTTAAAACATTTTAAAAGTCATCTTTTGTAAGTCTTTCCAAGGTTTGAAGAATAGCTATCCATCTGAAATCTATCTCTGTACCTCTGGAAAACCTAACTAACGTGACTACAAGCTTGACTATCATAGATGGCTATCTATTAACTGCATTTTTTAATTACAAGTTACATATTACATTTTAAAATGAGCTGCACAAGGAGCAGAAATATACATATAACAAAATTGGCCTTAAAATTGTATCAATAAACCAAGAGCCATACCAATACAAAATGTTCACCTCTACAGCCCCTGGGTAGTGAGGCACACCTGTGGGTTTGCTGAATGAAGTCAGGTGCTTTCTGTCAGCTGTCATTAGAATTCACACGATAAACTGCTCCTCAACGGTCAGAAATCTCCAGACACTCACACACTGGCGAAAACTGCTGCCAAGTCAAGCACACCGACCTTGTTTTCCCTACAGAGTATGAGTTCCCAAGGCTGGGACCTTGGCAACACTCACAATCTCCAGCCTGGGCCCCAGTTTTTCAATGAACTTCTACATCTAGCACCTTCTACAGCCCTCCCAAGAGGCCCCACATCATACTTGGCAAGGAGAATCTTATTCTCTCCATTTGATGCACAAGTAAACAGAGACACAACTTACCCAAAGGCCACACAGCCAGGAAATGACAGAGGTGGGATTCTTTTTAGCTGATGAGAATTGTGGCCTGTCCTTCAACTGTCCATATGCCTTCCCGGCTACTCTTACACTAGCGTCAGAATCATCATCCCTATTGTACAGCCAAGAAAACTGAGGCTCGGTAGTGCTAAGTAGATGCATGCCTAGGGTCACCCTTAGGAAGATGAAAGAGCTGAGATCTGACCTCATTACCTCAACAAATATTCGCCATGCATCCACCACAAGGTAGGCAGAGTTCTAGGCAGTAGGGATTCAAAACACAACACTCCTGGGCTTCCCAGTCTACCAGCGGTAATGGCAGACACAGACGTGACTGCAGATGATGGGGGAAGATGGAACAAGAGGATAGGTACTTATTTACTTTCAGAATAGGGCCTCAAGTAGCCCAGGCTGGCCTTGAACTCTTCACATTACTGAGGGTAACCTTGAACTCCTGATCCTCCCACCTCCACCTCCCTACTGCTGGGATTAATGGTCTGTGCACCCATGACCAGTTTATGGGGTGCTTGGGATAAAGTCAGGGACTTTGTTGAATGCTGAGCAAGCACTCTACCAACTGAGCCACAGTCTGAGCCCTGGGTGTCCCTTGACCCTAGGTCAGGAAGACTGTTGAGAAGATGGGAGTCTCCTCAAGACTTCCTGGGAGAAGAGCGTGAGCTGCAGAGAGAGCAACAGCAGGAAGAGTTCAGAGGTCAAAGGGGCTGGAGCACCAGGGGCATCAGGAAGCAATGCCCATGTGGTGGCCACAGGCCCTGACATACATTCCTTTGGAGTTTTTAAGAAGGAAGCCATGAAGAATCATCAGAAGGGGCATGGTATGAACCTGATTTACAGTCCTAAGAGGGTGGCTCTGGGGGACTTGTTACCTCCAATCAAATGTGCTTCATCAAACCGCTCCCACACCAGACACAAAAACAGCCTCTCCGCAGTCCTTCTTACCTCAGCTGTCCAGAGCACCCAACTCCACTTATGTCTGACTTTATTAGCACTATGAAAATGGGAGGGTTATGCTAGCCCTGCAGGGGTGTGGCCTTCCACCAGGGAGGTGCCAGGAAGAATGAAAGAAGTTAGCAAATGAAGATGTGTCCGGTGTCCAATAACCAACCACGCGATAAGGGAGAATTCATTAAACCAAAAGATCTAAGTTAAATTAACTGGCTTGGAACCCAGGTTCTGAAACCGTCTGAGTGACCCTGGGCAACTCATCTGGCCTCTCGGCACACAAACCCTCGACCTTCTGAGCAGACAAACTTAGAGGCTGTAGACAAGTGTGGCCCCAACATGCTAAGGTTAGCCAGAGAGCAGAAGTCTGGGTGGGAGTCCAAAGGGAGTCTCAGCCCCTCCTTCACTAAGCACTCCTTATTACTAATGCACCTCGGTTCTGCACCATCCTAGCTCAGCCATCAGCCCTAAAGAGACTGGCTGTTTGATTCGGTTCTGTCCATTTCCAACCAGTCTGTCCCTGAAGAAATGCCCAAGCCTCCGTCTCTTCGTTCATAAAAGGGTCCACACGGCAGAGCACTGTCTGATGGACACAAACCCTCAAACAAGGTCAGCACCTGGGCTACTGTTAGCAGCGGGCAATGTTCCTCCTTTCTCAACAACGAGGAGAAAAACAGCCACCCTTGGCTTCTCTTCACAGTTGAGGAAAACTTTATCTCCGACTAAATCTGAGGTTTAGAGGAAACCCGGACGTCTTGATCACCAGTCCTCTGCCTTTCCTGGGAACTGCTGGCCGAGAAGGGTTCAAGGAAACCAAAATTAAACTGAGTCCTGACGGCAAAGGGACAAGGTGCCACCTCTACCACAGTCACACGGCAACTGAGCCATTAATAAGTATTAGCCCCCTAGAAACCAGCAGAGGGCAGGATTGCCCCCACCGCCACCCTCGCCCCCACCCCCGCCCCATACACCAAGTTAGTTCAGGAAGGAATTTAACATCAATGCCCCGGTTTTAATCAGGCTTTTTCAAGTCTTTGAAATTCTGCCATCATCACCGACCAGGTTCTGGCGGAGGCAATAGAGGGGCGTTTTCCACCCTGGTACAAGTCGCTGAGGGAGGCTGGGTGCCTTGAGCAGTCACCCCTCTCTCAGAGGGCAGAGGTGTTCCCTGGGTCAGCGCTGGAGGCCCTTTACCCAACTGGATTGCAGGCAGCCGGTGACCACCCAACGAGTTGGGGGTAGGGCTGGGTCCAGATGCCGGAGCCTCTCCTTCCTGGCCTCCTCCATGGGAGAAGCCAGCTTGCATACAGGGTTTGCCCCGGTGCACTCCTGTCCCTTAGGACAGGCGCTCCAGGTGCTCGCCAGGACAAACCTGTGTTCAGAGTGGACTAAAGGGCATCCTCCGCCCATCCCCACGCAGGCTGTACCCAGTTCCTACTCCCTCCTCCCGCCAGGATCTCTGGTGGCACCCGCTGCATCCCACAGAAGCCCGGAACAGAGTAGCGACCTACTGAGACAGTGGGAGCGAAGCAGGCGACAAATCTCAGTATCCCGGGGATCGCTGAAATTTTACCTCTTGATAACTCCCCAAAAAGGTCGCGTGCAAGTCAGCCCGTAGGACTGATCACATAACAAATGAGCCCCTCAGTCCCCAGTTCCCTCTGTCCCCTGTCTCCTATCCCCACCCTTCCCGGCAACCGCGGGGTCCCCTAAGGTGAGAAGGGAGAAACTTGCATGCACAGAGACCCGGAACACAGCCACCCCAGCCACGTGTACCGTCCCCAGCAGGCTCTTCGAGGACTCAAACGCTTGGGGCCACTGCGATACGCTGAGGCCACGGGCTGTCCAGGTCTGAAGTAGCAGAAGAATCTGGGATCCTGAATGGCCCCAAAGGAAACGCTTCCAACAAACCTTGCGCTCCCGGCGGGCCAACCCCTTAAAGGTACACAGTCCCTTTCCCTCCCAAAGACCTGGCCTCCAGGGAGTCCAGACCCCAAATCAGCTGCAGGCTGATTGCGTTATGAATGGAGACTCACGCGTTGGGGCAAGAATTCAAAAGGGGGTGGCAGAGAAGTGTAGAAGTGGGAGGTCCCATTAAAATGCCCAGGCTTCTAAAAAAAAAAAAAACCTTCAGCACTCCGCGGGTGGGCTATGACCGCCCCACAGGGCTCAAGAGGAGTAAGAAATGCATGCCTGTTTCCTGTAGTGAGCTGAGGGGTGACAACCTTCTGCTGGAGGTTGGGCACACGAAGAGAGCTAGCCACACACAGACCTGCCCCTAGGAGGTCCTGGGTGGGGGTGAGCCAGGGTAGGATGGGGTATTCCTCTGGCAGGGCAGCAGACATCTGTCCCACAGGCAGCTTCTCAGGATGCTTCTGTTTGGACAGAGTGTTTTCTTTCCTTCCTGTCCAAAAGTAGCAGTCCTGGCCTGCAGGGCCTGGTTGTTTCCTCAATAGAAAAACCTAAGAAGGTCCTTCAACCAGGTCTAAGAGAAAGGCCACAGGGTCAGGAGCCCAGGCTTTCCTAAACACACCTCTAGATAGCCCTGACCCTCCGTGCATGCGTGCGTGTGTGTGTGTGTGTGTGTGTGCCTCCCAGCCAGAAACAAACCAAAATACAGCTTCTCTGGACTAAGTTCCCTCTAAAATGAAGCCAGGCCTATAGGCAAAGAGGAGCTATGAAGGTTCCCCTGCAGGTTAGGGATGGAGCTGACCCCCAGAAAAACAGGATACAAGTACCCATGGGGTACTCCCACAAGCCTCTGCAGCTGTGGATTGGATGGGCCAGGCTTGGCGTCAGCCCTCCGCACCCTCTCTCCTTTAGTCCCAGCAATGCCATGGATTCAGCCTTCTCATTTGCACTTTGTAGATGAGCAGAGGCCCGTGTCACTCGGAGCTAAGATACGAGACATGTTTGCCTGCCTTGAGGCTTTAAGCTCCTAGCCACTCTACCACATTTAAACTAGGAAAGAAAAGTCTAGACCCCTGGCAGAAGCAGGGTGGTGCTGACAGCCTCTGAAGCAAACAGGCTGGTGATCAGGCAGCAGGGTCAAATGTCACAGCGTGTGATAGGGCGGTCAGCAGGCAGGGAGAATATCAAGTCTGGTTGTCTGGTGTGGACAGGAAAAGCAAAGGAAATCAAAACTCAAAGTGAAGGACTCTAGGCTAGGATCCCAGAAAGCAGGCTTTCTCGCGGCTGCAGCCAACACATAAAAAAAAAAAAAAAAGGCTACAAAGAAAGAAAAAGGGACCAAGAAACAAGCTTGGGCAATACCAGTCTCCCACGCCAGGTGGGGGAGGGGGGTTTGTGCTCCATCCGCCCACCTGCCCAGCGGCCCAGCCAGAATGATTGGCCCACAGAAATGGCCTTGTGGTCTTTGCCAGGTGCCATTTCCTCTCCTGTGAAGCGAGTTCCAAGGAGGCAAAGCCATCCCAAGCAATGCTTCTCCCATCGCCTGCTGGCCCCTAGGGAAGGGCCTGAGCAGGGCCCTGAGGGAGGACTGGGTCCAACAAATCCTGGAAAGACTAGATTCAGAATTCATTACACACAACGCCACTGAAAAGCTCAAGGAACAGAAACAGGCTGATAGGCCTCAGAGTTGACCCTCCTTCAGGGGAAGAAGACCACTGAGCCTCTTCCTCAGTCCCACCCACAAGTAACCCAGGGAAACAGGGGGCAGCTCTCCAGAAGAAGCACTTCCGGGTGAGTCTGTGATGTGCTTCCAGATACCTGTTTGTTAGCTGCTCTCCTGCTCCCTGGGGAGCCACAGAATGGCTCGGAAGCTTGGCTGAGAGGATCTTGAAAACCAGAGTGCTTTTATTTCGTCTTTTTCCAGCTAGCTAGCCACCCCTCCCCAGATGACCAGGGCACAGGCCATGATAGCTCCTACTGGCCACTTCTTATAGCCCTGTGCAGAGCAGAGCAGAGCCCCCCCTCAGAACCCCCTTCCTCCCACCAGTGGCCTCTGGGAAGTGGCATGCTCTTGACCACAATCCCTATTTGGCGACGCCTTACCCCTTCCCTGCCCAGTCCATCAGGGCCCTCTTTTTCTGTTGGGCTTCTAAAACCTTCTTTAGGCTGGCACTGACTGGCATTACAAAGAAAAAAAAACGGAAACTGCCAAGAGAGAAACCAGCAGCCAGGCCTGGCCCACCTTCTTAGTGTGGGAAGGGAGGAGGGGTAGTCACAGGAGCCACCTCTCTGCCAGGCTTTCCCTGGCCCTTCATCGGGTGGCAGCTGCAGGCCAGACCCAGAAGGAGTGTGGAGGTAGAAGCAAGGGAAAGGTATGAGTCTGGCTTGGAGGGGAGGGAGGCCTAACTTCACCCCAGTCTCCCCCTTGTCCTCTTAAGCTATCACCAGTCTGGCAAGCGACACAGGCGTACTGGGCACCAGAGGACTGGATGGGGGGATGGAAATCAGCCCCAGGCAGTCTGGCTTGGGCAGGGCAATGAGGAAGCACAAAGTTCCAGTGGAGAACACAAATGTATTTTGGAATCAGCCTATTAAGTTGAGTAGCAAGCCAGCAGGGGGCCCCAAAGCCAGCTAGCCAACCCATCAGAGCCCTCCTGTCTCTCCAGGGCCACCATAGTCCCCTGTCATCTGAGGCTCCAGAGTAAGGGTCCACAGGGGTCTCAGGAGGTAACAGTATCGGGTGATCCAAGGGGCAGCAAGCAGGCATGGGCCTCCTCCGCCTGGAGGCCTGGAATGGAACATGGGGGGAATGTGCAGAGAGGGGCGTGGAACCAGAGATCCCTTTAGTCTCGAGTCTTGAGTCAACCCCTGGCAGGGAGGCTGGGACTTGGGGCAGTCAGTAGAGATATAGTCCACATATCTGGACTTCACTCTTCTTCCCTGTGCATCTCAGACCCATCCAACTCCCCGAGAATGCCTGAGGAAAGGGGCTAGCGGGAGGCCTGTGGGGGCTGCAGGGGTGGGGGGGGGGAGGTGAAGGGCAAGTCTAGCACCCCATCTCCCTTGTTGCCTCCAGCTCCAGGACAATCGGGAAGAAGGCAGGGCCCCGGAATGCAGGGGCGGGAGGACTCGGCCTCTGGTCCTTCTGGTTGTTTGAGCTAGAAGGACTGAACACTAACAGCCTAGCAGCTCCAGGCGCAGAGTGATACGGTTATGCCAGGACACAGGAAGGACGCGCACATAGCGGGCCATGAAGGGTGTCTCAAAAATGTTCTTCTTGTGTGAGTTGTTGTCTGAGTTGCCGTGGAAGACCTGAAAACAAATGGGGTGTCAGGAGTACCCCGTAGTCAGCCCCCTTCCCCACCCCTCAGAACCCCACAGTCTCCCAGGAATTGCAGCAAGACAGGATACCCACCTTGCTGGTCCCATGTTCCTCGTATATAGTCCACTGCGCGCCGTCGTTACTGTGGGCCACTTTGTAGGATGCTACATACTGGATGTGGCCAAAGTCGCGGGCCCCCTGGGTGATGATTCCCGTCACTTGCCTCTGGGTGCCCAGGTCAACCTACAGAAAAACACTGTTCTAGCCTGGAGCCTCTTCAGAAAGGTATAAAGGCAGGCACACTAGGACATGGCCGGTTAAGCCTATTTCTTCAGGAAATGCCTTGCAGAGTAGGGGGCGGGGCAGAGGCCACAAACCCCACCCACTCCCACCTGCAGCCACTCCTTGTTGCTGTTGCTCTGGGCAGTCCAGGCATTGATCTTGCCCTGCATGTCCAGCCGCCCCAAGTGGGGGTACCAGCCAAAGGCACGCAGGTTCCAAGTCTTGTAGCTGCTGGAGGCTGTTATCTGGCTGTCGGGAATTGTGTTGTTCTTCAGGCCCAGGGGCTCAGAACATCCTGTGGGCAAAAGGGATGGTCACAAGTACACGTAGGTACAAGACGATAAGGGAGAAAGGGCTGTGGTTCCTTAGCAGGGTTTATTTTGGTTTACTTTGGGTTTGGTTTGGTTGGCTTAAACTCACTCTGCAGTCAAGGATGACCTTAAACATCTGACCCTCACCTACACCTCCTGCGTGAGGGAATCACAGACACACACTACCACATCCAGGTTACACGGTGCTGGAGACAGAACCCACAGGATTCTTCTAAGCACTCTTACGGAGTAGTGACAACCCAGCTTCTGGTTTTGTCTTTTGAGCTGGGTCTAGCTGTGTTACCCAGAATGGCCTTTGAACTCCTAGGTTCAAGAGATCCTCCAGTTTCCAGGACAAGCCGGGGCTACACGGGGAAACCCTATTTAGAAAACCCAAAAGATTCTTGGCCTCAGTTTCCCAAACAGCTGGGATGAGGTAATCATGCCCAGCTGGGCATCTTCATGGACTAAGAAAGTCCTTCCTGCCTTCCAAGGCCAACCGAGGTCTAACCCACGCTTGCACCCCACTGTGACTCTGTCCCAACCCCCACCCCAACTTGCACCTAGAAGATCACCCGAGACCTCCTGACCTGGCCCCCTCCCTCCTTTGCTCTCTGAACACAGGAGAGTAAGACACCTCCCATGCCAGGGTGCTCCCTGCTGTCACGGACTCCCTTTCACCACACACCACACCGAACAAGTAGCTACCAACAACTTCACTCTATACATGAGCGACTTGAGCAGAGAGGCATTGCATACCGTGCCCACATCTCACACACGTGATCCTGACCACCACACCACATGTGATACCAACCCCCATGTCACGACCTGTGAAGTCCTGTATGGGGCCATCCAGCAACACACAGCAAACACTCCTAGTGAGGCCCAGGAATTTCTGTGAGTTCAGGGCTGCTTTCTGTGTCCGTCCTTCCAAATAAGATCCACTGAAGGGCCTTGGTGCACCCCAACATTTCTGGCTGGCTGGTGTGTATCTCTCCCCCCACCCCCAGAGTGGCCTTTGTTTCTTCACTCTGCCCCCAGGGTCACTTTCAGGAATGGCCCAACAGGTAGGAGCTGAGCAGGAGGTAAAATTCCCAGGAGGATGATGTGTCTCTAGACCTGGCAGCATCCTCACCCCACAACTATGTGTTAAGAGTTGGGGGGGGCGGTTAGTGAAAAGCCACACTTCCATCTGTGAAATCTGCTCCCTCACTGTCCCTTAGACGCCTGCAATTTTCCTGCCAACCATGCTGAAGGGGAGTGCCGAGCCATTCCCTATAGAAGGCAGGGGCCAGGCAGCCAGCAAAGGTCTCACTTGTATTGTGAAATGTCTACATAAAAGTTAAGTCGCCAAAGATACTGTCTGCTAAAAATAACAGCCCTGCTATGGGGAGCCTCGTGGGTTCCCAGGACACCTGGGCCTCACCCCATCCACATGGACAGTGCTCATGGACACGCCCCCATCTCCAGCTGACAGGTCGGGATACAGAGAAAGGGGGGGCCACCCAACTATCGGACTGTTGACACAAAGGATACCATCGGACTAGCAGCTACTGAATGGACACCAAGGAAAACAAGCTTCCCCGGGAATCCCATGCTGGGAGAAGAAAAAGGCGTGAGAGCCGGGAGTGTGTGCCTTCCTGAAAAAGGTTTTATACATCCTAACAGCTTGTCAAACCAGAATGAGACAGAAGTTCAGACAATGATGAGTCAATGGTGGGCGGGTCCAGGACTCAAGGCTGCTTAGACGTGCAAGTCCCTGGCCCTCTATTTAAACTTTAAACTCACTTCAGGACCCCAAAGATGGACTTGAGGGTCTCACTGGGTCTTTGTCCATCTTCTCTCATACGGTCACTGAATAAATCTCTTCCCACTTTTTACTATGAATTTGGCTGTTTCAATTGGCTTCTTGAGGACAGGTAGCCAAGTTTGACTTCTTGTGGTACAGACTGTGACCCTAAGTTTGGTAATAGAAACATACTAGCTGAAATCCATACTTAAACGGGGGGGGGGGGGGGGGACTGGACTTAATGGCACATGCCTTTAATCCCAGAACCTGAGAGGCAGAAGCAGGTGGATCTCTGTGGATTTGAAGCCAGCCTGCTCTACATAGTGAGTTCCAGGACAGGCAAGGCTATGTAAAAAGACCCTGTCTCTCAAAAAAAAAAAAACAAAAACAGTAAAGAGTGCCAGAGAAAGAAGGCACAGCCGGGCTGGCACAGCAGGGCATGCCAGCCCAGCTATAAAGATATGAGCTCTGCAGCCCAGGCGAGTCAGCACAACAATTACCCCTGGTGGCCAGCAGGTGGCACTGTGGCTGCAAAGAAAAACAGGCTTCAAAAGAGACCAGTGGGCCTGAACTAAAGGGCAGTATGGGTCAGCTAGACCTCTCCAGAGGGTAATCTCCCTGGCTCATCAGCAACCCGTCCCTTGGTGGTCCCTTTGTGGTCCCCACATCTGTAGCCAGCACCAAACGCCAAGCTCTAGGGTCCTAGAAACACCTGCATGACTGGTCAATGCAGGTGGCAGACACCTGAAGGGAAAGCACTGTGCTCACACGTCCCAGCTGGTACCTTGGATGAACACAATATATCTATCTAGGTGTCCCTTCATTGATGCATCCATCCCTCATCAAAGATTTACTAAGCACCCACATGTCTGAGGCCCTGGAAACACAGCAACAAAGAACAATTCCCTGCAATCATGCAATTCACTGCCTGTTCTAGAAGCACCAGGAACCAAAATAAGCAGAAATACTGAGACGGGAAATGGCCATCCAAAATGCCCCGAGCAATGGACTGGCAGACAGCGCACGCAGAGCAGGAACAGCTGGCCAGGATTCTGTGGGTGCTCTCCACAGTAGCCCCTCCCCGCAGCAGCTCACAAAGTAGGGACAGAAAGGGCCACATCTCAGCACTCACCGTGCAACTCACAGCCCAGGAGCTCGAAGCGGAGGGTGCAGCCTCGGTAGCATGAAACGGGGTACAGCCTTATATACTGCGCCTCCAGAGCGGGACTGAACATGTTAACCTTCAGGCTGTTGTTGTCCGTGTTCCCCAAAAACTCCTAGAAGGGAAAGGGGTAGGACTGGAGGAGGAAGCGGGTTAGCCAGCCCGGGCCCCGAACCTCTTCCTCTTCAGGCCCGAGAGGCCCAGAGGCCATCGTAGGACTGGAAGAACATACTCCCCCAGAGGCCACACAGACTCAGCCTGCAGCCCTTGCTTTGTCCTCCTCAGGGTCATCCCCGTGCCCAGGTATAAACCCCTGTTCACACGGGGCTATCTAGGGCACCTCTGTTTACATCCTCCAAAGACTTCATGGTAACAATTTTCCGGCAGACAGACAGACAGACAGACCTGGATGGTATCTGTGCTGTAAATGGTGCCCACTTAGTAACTGTATCTCACAACTGTATACTGCAACCCTGAAAAGTTCAGAGAGCAGTCCAGCGCCACCGCCACCCTTACCAAGTCATGGCACTTCTTTGAGTCTCTGTTTGTATC